AGCCTCTGTGACCATTCCCTCTGGTATTAATATGTGTAAGCCACTCGCTACCCCGTGCTCTGTACTTCTATCACAGCACCTTTGCTGGGACTACAGGCGCCTGCCACCACGCCCGACTAATTTTTGTATTTTTAGTAGAGATGGGGTTTCACCACGTTGGCCAGGCTGGTCTCCAACTCCCAACCTCAGGTGATCCACCTGCCTCGGCCTCCCAAAGTGCTGCGATTACAGGCGTCGGTGTGCGCCCGGCCGGCCCTGACTCTCACTTTTGAAAGTGAGTTGGTTGTCAGCTTGTGTTCATTAATATGAATTTGCAATTGAGGCACTTCCCTGTGACATCATACAAAGAAGCAGTGTCGGGGAAGATGACACTCAGTGAAATCCTACTCCCTCCTGAGACAGGCAACAAATCCACGGTTGGCTCTGGAGCTGGTCCCAGCTCACTTCAGGTTCTTGTAATGATGGTGTGGACACTGACACACAGGGTAGGTTCTGTGGGAACCCCCCCACCCCCCGATGACCTAGCTAGAGGGACTGGTCTTGAAGTTCCAGGGCTGGCACATCATGGAAAGCCTAATGTTTGCTGCCGTGGAATTTCCTGGGGGAAGATGAGAAGAATTTGTAAAAAGTTAAAAAGGATACATAAACATCAATGACAGAAAGAAAAAGTTCAGAGGTAGGAGAGACCAGTTCCAAAGGAGGGGATTGTATTAGAATGTGACTCCCAAATCTGCCAGCCCAGAACTCACTTGGGGAAGCTTGAAATACAGGTTTCTGGGCTCTACTGCTAGGGAGCCTGGACTGTGTGATCTGTGCTTAGCACACTGCCCGGTAGGCACATAGATATGTTCAGTAAATGCGTTAAGAATGAATGCATCTCCAAGGTCCGTCGCAACTCAGTGATTCTGTGCATCCTTCTGGCTTGGGGAGGCAGGAGGGAGGTGTTGCTGGAAGAATCTTTGAGGCAAGAAGAAGAGCAGGATCACAGGACTGAGTAACTGGAAGGAAGAGTTTGGCACCTTTGCAGTTATTTTGCATAAATGCCAGGTGCAGAGTAGGGGGCGGGGTGAGTAAGCTGGTTTCAACTTTCCCCCTTCCTTTTCTAATCAGCTTTTAAGCTGAACTCAGTTTCTATTGGAGAAGGGTGAGCTAGCTGAAACATGAGGATGGAATTTGCTTTTTTTCTTCTTCTGAGAAAACGAAGTGTGAGAACCCAAGTGCTTAGCTAGCTCACAAAACAGACTCACAAGAGGACAGAGGAGGGGCCCTGGGTCAGGACTTGAGACTGGAGCAGCCCTCACCTGCCATCGGCCCTCCTGTGGCATGCCAACGCAGTGTTGAGATCCTATGGGTTTATCTCTTAGTGATGGCAAGCACAGCCGGAGACCCCAGGGAAGCTCAAGGCTCCAATGTGGCCCTATGTGTGAGAGAATCTTAATGGCCTCAGCCTACTTGTGAGCCCGGCATCTCCTGTCCCTTCTCTTGATTCCCACAATTGCTGTTTCCATAGACTGAGACTCTCCCAGCGTAGTTTCCTTGATGCCTCCTTCTAGAGCTTATTCCACTCTCTCCAGGTTCTCATGGAAAGAGTGCTGCTGCATTTATCACTGCCTTCTCCTCCCTTGCATTGCATGGAACCATTTATAGTTATCTGCTATAATACCTTTTGCTTTTAAACAATGGTATTTTTACTGATAAAAGCAGTACACATTCATACAAAAAGTTTGGAAGATAAAGAAACTTCACAGTTTCGTTCTAGCTCTTTAGAAGGCTTCTGAGAGGTGTAATGGTCACAAAAAGGAGAACTGAAAAGAGCTTTAGCTGGGGGCATGATGGTTCCTGCCTGTAATCCCAACACTGTAAGGCCAAGGCAGGAGGATTGCTTGAGCTCAGGAGTTCGAGACCAGCCTGGGCAAATAGCAAGATCCTGTCTCTACCAAAAATAAAAATAAAAATTAGGTGGGCTTGGTGGCATGTACTTGTAGTCCCAGCTACTTGGGAGGCTGAGGTGGGAGGGTTGCTTGAGGTTGGGAGGTTGAGGCTGCAACTTGGGTGACAGGGCAAAGAAAGACACCATCTCTAGAAACACGAGAAGACCCTCATTGGCTTTCTCTGATGCCCTTTCTTCTTATCTCCTGTCCCCTCCAGAGGATAGGATATAAGAATGGCCTGTCCCCACCCAGCCATTCTCCAGCGCCCAGGTCTTGGACTGCACAGGAAGCACCCCCTATGCTCTGTACCCCTGTGAATAAAACCTTTTTTACATAGGAGATTCCAGATTTAGATACAGAACTCAGGACTATTAAGGAGATTCCTGTTTTATTGGCTTAGAAATAACAATGTCATGAAAGCTTCACTTTCTACAAGAAAAATCCTGTCTTGCAACTATGATTATGGGAGAGCACACCACTTCCTCTTGCCTCCGGGGGATCTCTTGGTGGAATTAAGTGTTATTATGGGGCATTGTGCGCCTCTTCAGGAAGCTGCTGAAAGACAGCCAACAATCAGCAAGTTCATAATCTCGTGTGACCTACGGGTATCTGAGAATGGAGTACAAGTGTGCAGAGACGTAGAAACCACCAGTCCTCAGGGTCACTTGGTCACCTGGGGCTGCTGAACTCCTGGGCTGCGCGTGCGTGCGCGCACACACACACACACCTGGGTCTGCTAAACCCCTGGGCTGCGTGCACACACATATACATACACACACACACACACACACACACCTGGGGCTGCTAAACTCCTGGGCTGCGCACGCGCGCACACACACACACACACACCTGGGGCTGCTAAACTCCTGGGCTGCGTGCGCGCGCACACACACATCCCTTTGCTCTGTCAGCTAAACTCTAAGTCCATGGTTTTCTTGTTCCTGGGAAATGAGCAAAAAGATGGCTCTCTCTGTTTTGCAAGTAAGGAAAATGAACTCGAGGAGACAACTTTAGCATATGCAAAGCACTTTACACATATTAACTCCCTTAATCCTCACAATGTTTTGAGGTTGGTGCTAATATTATCCCCACATGACATGAGGACAGGCTAATAACTTGCCCGGGTTCAAACAATTGATGGGTAGTGGAGCCGGGAATCAAAAGGGAAGAGTGTGATTTTGGAGTCCACATCCATGAGCACTATTTTATCGCGTTGCTGCTAATGGGGTCTTTCTGGAACACTGCTTTGCACACGTAATTCCCAGCTCTGCAAGTTGTCAGTGGTTCACTGTTGCCCACAGGATAAAGACCAAGCGTCTTAGTCTTTCAGTGCTTTCCATGGCCCGCTGTCAACCCCCCGTTCCTGCTTACCCAGCATGAGCAGTGAGGAGCCCTGGGGCATGCCTGGATGATGGTGTTCCACTGAGCAAGCGTGCTTCCTACCCGTCCTCTCGGTTAAAGCCCAGACCAAGCCTCACCCATTCAGAAAAGCACCACCTCTACCACCGTCCTCCTGGTCTGACTGCGTTCACAGTGATCTTTTCCTTCTTTGTTGGTACTCACTGTCCGTGCCCTTTGTTCCGTATTTAGTTTGGGTTGTATTCTGTTCACGTACCTTTCACGTATCTGTCCAGTCTCCCTGCCGCATCCTCAATGTCAGCCGTTATTGACGACGCTAATGAATATTCATCCCCACACACCTACTTGATGAGAAATTGAGACTCTGAGATTTGCCATTGCAATATTTGCTCAGATATCATTTTCCATTCAATAGTGGTATCCTAAATATAGCACATTAGTGAATTAACGTGGTCTGAGACCCTGTCTCATGCTCTATGCAACCCTCTCTCCCTCAGACTACCTCCCTATTCCAGGAGGTCAAGATTGACTGTCCCAAATAGTCCTCATCATTACTGTGCTGTGCGGGACTTAGCTGTGCTGGATGATATTAATTGTTGTACCCAGTTGTTATTTCAGTGCGGCCAGATTTTTACAGAAGTGGGTCTGCTACCAGCTGTGTGTCAGCTTTGGATAAACATCCTTCAATTCCATAGGGGAGGTCTGGAAGAAGGAGAACCCCTGTTTTGGCTTCAAAGACCAGAACTTTGATTCAAGCTGTGGCCTGTTGTTTGCTAAGCTTCAGTCATTTGAGTGCCAGCTTCACAGTTTTTGCCATACCTACATAGTCCGCACACTCTGTTTTATTATTATTTTTTTTGTAGAGGCAAGGTCTCTCTCTGTTGCTCAGGCTGGAGTGCAGTGGCACGATCATAACTCACCATAACCTGGAAATCTTGGCCTCAAGCGATCGTCCCACCTCAGCCTCTCAAAGCACTGGGATTACAGGTGTGAGACACCATGCCTGGCCTTATTTTTTTTAACTTAAATTTTAATCTCATCCTAAATAATAACAACCACAATGTTACAGGTTCAATGTGCTCATTACAGTTTTTCAAATGGATTTTACAGTAAATCCACACCCATTAGGTAACGCTTTATCTGTGTACTACACATATTACGTCCCCTTCCTCTGTGGTGTGCTTGCCACCCTCTGGGACACACTGCTGTAGTATTTTGGTCTTCTCCTCCTCACCCTTTCTAGATGTGAAGTCTCTTCTGATGAGGTCATAGGCTGGGTGCCTGTGTTCCACTGGGCGGATTCCGCTATGCCACCTTCAGAGCCACATTCAGGGTGAAAAGACTTCTAGGCAAGGCAATGGCCATTTTCTTTTCTAAAGAGCAAGAGCTGCTCAGCTGTTACTCCTTACCGTATCCAGGGTCTCTAGTTAAGATTTTATTGGAAGAAAAGGCCATATTGATTTTTTTAAAGCATGAAAACCATAGGCCAAGCCCATCCAGGATGAACACTTTGGGAAAGGTCATTTGTTTGGATAATCATCCACTCATACATTCATTGAGTACCTATTGGAGCCTCTCTTGGCTCTTCCTAGCTTAGGGGTCAGGAGAGCTGGCCTCAAGCATAGTTTGTTTACTGTAACGAAACAACAATATGCAGTGTGGGATGAGGCCATGCCAAGCACTGTTCCTATTTTCTTCCACTTGATCCAGGTTGGAAGTAAACCTTCAGTTCAAGTCCAGAAGCCACCTGCCAACACCAAGAACTCCAGAATGACCCAAGTCTTTCATAAGGTAGGGAGTGATGTTCAGCTCCTTTTCTCTAGGAGAGAATGAGGAGAGGCAGGTGGCCAGGGTAGCTTCGAACAGGCAGTTTTGGCCAGTTCATCATGACATGTATCATAACATGATGACAGCACTCTGTCCACATCACCATTGCCATATGATTTTTTAAAATGTTTTAATTTTAATTTTTGTGGGTACATAGTAAGTGCATATATTGATGGGACACATGAGATGTTTTGATAGAGATATGCAATGTGTAATAATCACATCATAGAAAATGGGTTATTTGTCCCCTCCAGCATTTATCCTTTGTGTTACATACAATAAAATACAATTAAATTACTATTGATTATAGTCACCCTGTTGTGCTATCAAACAGAAGGTCTTATTCAATCTATGTTTTTGTACTTATTAACCATCCCCACCTCTCCCGCAACCATTACCCTTCCCAGCCTCTAATAACCATCCTTTTAATCTCTTTCTCCCTTAATCCAATTGTTTTGATTTTTAGATCCACAAATAAGTGAGAACATGTGATATTTCTCTTTCTGTGCCTGGCTTATTTCACTTAGCCTAATGATGTCTAGTTCTATCCATATTGTTGCAAATGACAGGATCTCATTCTTTTTTTATGACTGAATAGTATTGCATTGTGTTTAAGTATCACATTTTCTTTATTCATCCATCTGTTGATGGACACTTAATGTTGCTTCCAAATTTTAGCTATTTTGACCTCTCTCCTGATTAATTAGTCAATCAATCAGTGGAGGAGGGCAGGGATCCAAGTGAGTAGGTCAAGTCAATAATGTAGTCATAGAGGAAATGGAAGCTTATGTTGCAATGAGGAAGATCTGCGTGATATAACAGGAAGAACTTCCCTGCGTTGGGGTGGTAAGATATTGGAGTAATAATAATAATGGCCAGCACTTACAGTCTATATATTGACTCATTTACCTCACAAAAGCCTTATGAGGTAGGCCCCATTTTTGTTCCCATGGTAGTGATGAAATAATTGAGGTTTCGAGGAAGAGTCAGTGTGAGCTGTTGAAAGTCTACAGCTAGTAAGCAGTAGAGGAGGGGCTCAAACCCAGAGCCCATGTGCTTGTTGACTCTGCTGCTCTGGAATCTGCATTTCTTGCCAAGAACTTTAACAATAGGTTTATGTCCGGATTGGGGTTAGACTCATCTTGAGTTGGGGGGTTGGGAAGGGGGGCTAGAAGAAATGATGCCTGGAGACGTTTTCTTGCCTAAGGTTTTTGTAATGGATGCAGTTTCTCCTTCTACAGAACTCCAGTGTTACTTCACTCCCCTTTGTGGACGCCAAGGGGAAGAAGAATATGGTAAGCTTCCCACACATTAGCAAGAAAGTCCTGCTGAAGTCATCCCTGCTGTATCAGGTGGGTGCAGACGGACGGGACCCTGAGAAGGTTTTAGTCCAAAGTTTTAGAAAGGCCCAGGATGGTGGGGAAAAGCACAGTATCTGCTGAAGAGTTGGGTTCTGGTCCTGTTCTCATTCTTTACAATGACTATAAGCTTGAGCAAATAAGTCCTTAACCTTTTCTTAGCTACGAAATGGTCCCTCTGTAGAGTTGTCAGGGGGATTCATTGAGGAAAGGAAAAATGAAGTGCTGTGCATGAAAGGTGGAACCATACAAAATATTCGTTTCCTCCCATGTCCTCCTACTTCTTTTGTGTAGGGACCAAATGAGATAATAGGTGAGAAGGTGCCAACTGAAAGAGGTGTCACACACACATAAGTTCACGTGCTCCTGGGCAAGTCACTTTGTCTAGCTGGGAACTCACCTTCTTAAGAGCAGCAGTGAAAAACTGTCCCCATCTCTTCCCACAGTGAGATGTTGCTGGGGTTGTCAACAGCATACTGTAAGGTACAGGGGTCTCCCCAGGAACAGTGTGAGTCAGACAGATACTTCCTTTGGGAGAGAGATAGGGAGAACCTACTGTCTCTTAATTGCTGTTTTCTCCCTGGAGAGATAGGTAAATAGCCTGGCTGGAGGTGGATGTCTTTGGTTAAATAAACAGTTATGTCCCCCAAGAGAGTCTTAAGTAGTTATTTATTGCAAACCTCTTTTCCTGGACAGGAGAATCAAGCTCACAATCAGATGCCGGCCTCAGAGCTCAAGGCTTCAGAAATACCTTTGCACCCTAGCATTAAAACCCAGGATCCCAAGGCAGGGGAGAAGTCACCAAAGAAGCACAAGGTGCCTCTGACAGCAGCAGGTATGCTTTTGGGGCAGTAGCAGGGTTTGGAGGTGGTTATGGAAGGTCAGGGTGTCAAGAGCTCAGCTGCGCTGGAGTGAGCTAAGCTGCCAGGTGTCAGAGTCGTCAATGAAGGCAGCAAACCACGAGGAAAGTAGAAGTTAAGCGTTGAACCTCTGACTGTAAGCAAGAGATAAGATAAGCAAGAGGCTGAATAGGAGGCTGAATGTTCCTCCATGGAGTGACTCTGGGCAAGGGCGGGATGTACCCGTGCAGACAGAAGGAAGTGTCTCATTTGCCTAAGGAGCCAGACAGAAGGCTCCTGTCATTTTATGGACCCAGGGGCCAGGCGGAAGGCATTGTAGAGAGTGGAAGAGCTAGGGGTGGAAAGGTACTGAATACAGAGAGCAGAGCAAAGGGTGTTGAAGCTCCTTCCTCTTGGTAAGGAGGTGTTGGGGAGGAGCCTCTGCGGGGGGATCTTGGTTAGAAATGCAGATATGTAGAAGAGCATGGCCAGCCAGGGGGCTCCGTCCTTGGCTGTAGCTTCCTCCAGAGACTGCAGTGCACCGGCTGTGGTGCAGGGAGGCATCTTTACCCATGAGGCTGGCCACGTGAAGCCTTTGTGGACTGCCTTGTGGTCAGGCCTGAAAGATTGCACATGGGTTTTTGGCCAGTGGCTAGACTTCTAACGGGGTTCGGAGACTCATAACCCATTAGGACGCAAAGGAAGACCACCCAAACCCACCAAGCATCCACTAGGGGTGCCATCATCAGATGCTTTACAGCTTTTCTTCCACAACTTAGAAAGTGAAAGTGGTGCTTGTTGTTCTTAAACAACTCCGGGAACTATGCACGAAGAGGTCATTTCAGTCCTGAGCTGGTTCTGCCTTTACAGAGCTGCCGTCTGCCCCCTGCTATCTTATGCCTTGGCTCTGTCCTCTGGGCAAAGAACATGCCTTGTTCAGCGTATACATGACTGCCCTTCACTTATATGAAAACCGAAGTCTTGTCCCCTGTAAGTCCTTTTCTTTTTCCTTGCAGTTCCCTCTCCAACGCTTCAGCAGTCTGTCAAATAATATGGTGTCCCCGTCCTGATCCTAGTTTCCTTTCTCTGAGAATGCTGTAGTTTATCAATGACTGTGAATTTTACCCCTGACCACGCACCAGAGCGCCGATGTGATCTGGCCAGTGTAGAAAAGTCCTAACTCATAATCTCTCCTTGCAATCTGAGGTCCTTCCTGATTCAGCTGCAGATTTGAGCGTGAAGCCTCCTGGGCCTTTAATGTTGCCTTTATGTTACCTGTCTGGCCCTGCAGACATTACAGTCTTCAAAGCCTCTCAACTAATGATAGCTTCATTCCACATTAACCTGGGCAACCTGCCACCTAAACGATATACTATTGGTGACACTAATTTTACTCCTGGAATTTTTACCCACGCTGCTCTAACCCCCAGGTGTATGGGGACTGAGCTCTCCCTTTCCCTGTCCTTGTGTTCTTTTCTTGATTTGTTGAAATAAGTGCAAGACCTTGACATTTATCTTTGTCATACTTCCATCTTGTGAGATGCCAGATGCATGGTCCTCAGTGAGCCACCCAGCTGGGAAACAGGCTGATGGCTCGTGACCTGGAAGGATGCCATCGTCTGCATCCTGGGAAAATCCTATGCTGCCTCAACTTAACTCACAATTGTAGTGTTTTTCACAGAGGCCCTAAAGCTTTTTAAGAATCAGCTGTCTCCATATGAGCAAAGTGAAATCCTGGGCTACGCGGAGCTGTGGTTCCTGGGGCTTGAAGCCAAGAAGCTGGACCTGGCTCCTGAGAAATTTAGCAAGACGAGTTTTGATGATGAGCAAGGCTCCTATCTGAAGGTGATTGGGGGTGGGGGCCATGGGAACCTCCAGGGGCCCGGAGACAACGGGTAGTCTAGAAAGGAAAAAAGCAGGGGTATTTTTTAATATTTAGCGCTGATATGTTGGAGACTAGATGTCCTGAAGTATTCTGGTAGTGCCAAGCCAAAGAAATACCATGCCTGAAAATGGGGAAACATGCAATTTAGTATGCAAAATACTCTACTAATGGAAGACTGACTTTCCCCCAAGCGTACTTGGGGTAGCCGGTTTGCATCCTGGGTGAGCTCCCACAGGCTCCTTCCCTGCATAGCCCACTGGAAAAGGCCAGACTGAAATAAGGAGCAGTTTCCCCAACATTTCCTTTTTTGTCTCCTCAATACAAGTCCATACATGGACTCTTATTTTATAATAGATGTCAATTCCCCCCCAGACAGAAAAGCTTTTGTCACTGTAGTCCCTGGTGCATAGAGCTTAATATCATTCTGCTCTTAAAAAATTGATCCCAACAGCTCCTCTTCCTCCTCCTCTTCTGACTGTAGCCCTTGGCTTCCCCAGGGCAGTGCCTCTTCCCAGCCGGAAGGTAAAAGCTGAGCAGTGATTCCCAGGGCTGAGCATGTTGGGATGTGTGACACTTAGTGCACTAGACTGTGGGCTGTCAGGAATTTCCTCTTCAGAACATTTCATTACCACTTGGATTTAAGAGACAAGATGAGCCTGATGGCTCATAGAAGAGGCAGATTTTATTAATAGCATTGAGGGCCATGTTTGTCTAGCATTACTATGAACACAAACCACTTGCAGGATCTTGTTAAAATGCAAGTTCTTATCCAGCCTGTCTGGGACTAGGGCCTGAGCTTCCAGGTGGTGCCTGTGCTGCTGATCCTTGAACCACACTTTGAGATGCAAGGATTTCGTTTCTGTCACACAGTGCCTTCTAGAGCCTGGGTTTTCAATATTTTCAGTCAAGAACCCCTTTGGGAGCCTGATAAAAGCTATAGGTCCTCATCCCAGAAAGGACAACCTGCACATACATAAAATTATAGGGGGTTAGTGGATCCTTGGTTAGGAATCTCCAATAAGTGTATATATATGTATATTCTTGAGATGGAGTTGCCCAGGTTGGAGTGCAGTGGTGTGAACGGCTCACTGCAAACTTCACCTCCTGGGTTCAGGCGATTCTCTTGCTTCAGCCTCCAGGGTAGCAGGGATTACAGGTGCCCGCCACCATGCCTGACTGATTTTTGTATTTTTAGTAGAGGCAGGATTTCACTGTGTTGGTCAGGCTGGTCTCAAACTCCTGACCTCAGGTGATCCGTCTGTCTTGGCCTCCCAAAGGGCTGGGATTACAGGTGTGAGCCACTGTGCCCGGCTGGGAATCTCCAGTATAAATCTTAACTCTGATTCAGCGAGACCTCCTCAACCCCTCCCTCCCTGCTCCCTCCTCTGCTCCACCCTACCTGAGCCTAGGGTCTCTAGGGAATTCCCTAAGAGTGTCAGTACTACTTTTAAATTAATTCATTGGAACTCAGTTCTTCAGTCTCAAATCTTAGAAGAGGCTTTTTTTTTTTTTTTTTTTTTTTGGTGGGGGAGGGCGTTGTAGGGAAGAAAGGGATAATGTGTGTTCTCTGTAAGCTAAAAATCACCATCCTTATTGCATTCCAGTACACACACAAATACATACTGCACATAGCCAAATTCCCAAGCAAGCAACACAGCTGCATTCTCACTTTATTTTGTCAACAGATGTTAATTGAATGCCTATGTATTGATAATCTATCATAAACTTGGGCATCTACTAGACTCTGGAAATATAAAGGAAGCTATCACAAATGAATACAAAATGGTTCTTGCTTTCAGGTAACCATAATCAATGTCAAAGTTGACATGCGAATGAACAATTATGACACTAAGTGGTAGTATGCAGAAGGCAAGCACAAATGCTAAGAAAACACATATGCAATTTTATAGCCACGTGTGTGGATCCTGTCCCTGTCCTTTTCCCATACATTCTCATGACAGATCCTTACAAGTAGACTAACCTACATCCATAGATCAGGAAAGTTGTACGTGTTCAAATTCACTCTAGATTCTTCCCATACGAACCGACCCCCAGCGCACATTCTCAAACACATCCTGAGGACTTGTACACAAACACTTAATCCTTCACCTCTCCCAAACTCATGAGTGTAACACTAGAAATCAGAGACCCACAGAGCTTGAGGACCTTAGAGATAATATTATCCAGCATCTTCAGTTTACAGACAACAGCACTGCAGCTCAGAATGGATAAACTGCTTGTCTGAAGCTGAAGTCTTTTTAATAGAACATTTCCTGTGGTTTTGATTAACCCCCTGCTCTCTAGTTTCCAGCATAGGGGGAGACATGGGTGATTCTGGCTCTTGAAATATTTCTCTTCACCAAGAAAGGTCCAAGTTCTGTACTGCTAACTCCAGGATAGGATTAAATCCCAGTGAGCCCAAAGGAGAATCAAATTTGGCCAGGAAGAGGCAGAGCAGACCTAACGCCTTCTCTGATAGATAGAGACACATCAGGGGTCAGAAACAAAACTTTCTCCAAACCAGAGATGCTGCTTAACTTCAAGACTCATAAAATGTCCAAACTGAAAGGGACTTTCAGGGCCACTTTGTCCAACCCTCTTACTTTATAGGTCCTAAAACATGCAGAAAACTGGAGGACTAGAACTGGAACTACAATACTGGGACTAGATCCCAAGTTTCCTAAAACCATCCAGTGTTCTTTGTGCTGCTTGACATGGATCAAGCCTGTGGGACTTCCCCTGGCACCACATGGGTGGCCCAGAATCCAGCCAGCAAGCTCCCCATTGCAGTCGCGATGAGATGAGAGCGAGAGTCCCACAAGTGCCCAGTGCAGTTAGAAAATTCCTCTAGGAGTGAGCCGTAATCTGGGGGTGGGAATGCCAGGGCCCCATGCCAGGAAGGCCCGGGAGCCCATGGCTTTGCTCTTCACCACCAGCCTGGCTTCCACAGGTCCTGCATGATCACATTGCCTACCGCTATGAGGTTCTGGAGATGATCGGGAAGGGGTCCTTTGGACAGGTGGCCAAGTGCTTGGATCACAAAAACAATGAGCTGGTGGCCCTGAAAATCATCAGGAACAAGAAGAGGTGTGGCTTGGGGGATGACATAGGCCACAGAAGAGGGACTGTGTGACTCTGGCCCCTGCAGAATGCCAGCCCTTCCTGACTCTGTCTCTGCCTCCGATCTTCCCTTTTGTTTTCCCTTTTCTCTTTCCACCTGTCTGATTCCATGAGGGGTCAAAGAGGAGGCGAGAGTATGGTGTTTTTAGTGCTTCCTGCCACTAGACAGTCTTGCTGGGGTCATGGGGAGGGGCTGACTGCTACAGTGGGACCTGACACTGATGTTTCTGTCCCCATTTCCCACCCTGCCTGCCACTCCCAATCCCCTCAGATTTCACCAGCAGGCCCTGGTGGAGCTGAAGATCCTGGAAGCTCTCAGAAAGAAGGACAAAGACAACACCTCCAATGTGGTGCATATGAAGGACTTTTTCTACTTTCGCAATCACTTCTGCATCACCTTTGAGCTCCTGGGGTCAGCTGCCTTTTCTTCTTAACTCATTTCCTCTGGAAAAGTTACCTAAGTGATAGTGTTTGAGGTCAGAACACTAGATTTTTCTGGATGTGAATATTTAATAACTAGAATGTTCATGACAGTCACTTAGTTATCCAGAAGGCCCCGGAGCAAGGAGGCTGGGATGGAAGCAGACAGTCTTGGTATGCCTGTCACCTGTCAGCCTCCCCGTGATGTACTTCCCTGGGGGGGGTACTGAGCCAGGTGACATGACCAAAACAAGGCCTCTTTCCTCAAGAGCTAAACCAAAATAGTCAAAAAGGACTTTTCTTTGTTTGCTATCATATCCCCCACTCGTGGGCTTTCTGGCCTGATCATGCAGAGGCGGAAACCTAAAGGGATAGGCCGCTGGCTGCTCAGAGTGGGAAAAGGGTTTTGATTTTGAGTAAATAAGGACAAGAGCAGATATTTTTGGTAAGAGAGCAGAGCCTGACTTAAATAGATTGGCATGGCCTGGCTGAATATTGGAGCTGACGAGGCATGCCAATCACAAGGGCATGCTAATTTGATGATGATTCTCTCTGGGAAGACCATCTGACGCAATTTATATAACACTAGAAACCCAGAATGCATTTAGCAAAGGAGAACAAGCAGGGCTGAGCTCTCAGAGTGTTACTGGATGCAGCAAGCTGGTAGCTCAGGGCTCCCAGGACACCGCTGCTGATGGTGAAACTCTAGGAACCAGCTACATTTGAATTAGCAGGTAAGGTGACACTCTCCTCACCATTTCCGGTTATTCCAAAGCGTGGTCGAGTCTCTGATATGCAGAGGTAAATTATCTTCTCTGTGGCCAAATGGACAGCTCGGTCTACCTTTCTTGGCCATGAATCCCAGTGCACAGTTAGGATGTCATTGTGCTTAAAAGAGCTCTGGGAGGTCAGAGGGCCAGGGTGTGCAGGGGGATCCAAAGCTCAGAGAGATGAGGGAGTTGCCCAATGGGGCCAGAGCCAAGTCTCACATCTCCATTGCAGCCCTCAAGAATGAATGGTGGCCAGTGTGATGGCTCACGCCTATATCCCAGCACTTTGGGAGGCTGAGGCGGGTGGATCACTTGAGGTCAGGAGTTTGAGACCAGCCTGGCCAACAGGGTGAAACTCCATCTCTACTAAAAACACGTCTCTACTATAAACCCTATCTCTACTAAAAATAGCTGGGTATAGTGGTGTGTGATTGTAATCCCAGTTACTCGGAAGGCAGAGGCAGGAGAATCGCTTGAACGTAGGAGGCAGAGGTTGCAGTGAGCTGAGATTGTACCACTGCACTCCAGCCTGGGCAACAGAGCAAGACTCTGTCAGAAAAAAAAAAAAAAAAAGAATGGCTCTGGCTGGGCGTGGTGACTCTCACCTGTAATCTCAGCATCTTGGGAGGCCAAGTTGGGAGGTCACTTGAGTCCAAAAGTTTGAGACCATCGTGGACAACATAGCAAGACCCCATCTCTAAGAAAACATTAAGAACGAGTGACTTGCTAAATACTACCAAAGCTAGATGATCTTAGGAATGGAAGATGAGGAGGGACCAGCAGAAGGTTGCTGAAAAGCCATTTTGGGGTCATGCTCTTTCCCTTCTCTCCCCATCTCACAGCTTGCACAGAGGTTTCATCTGGCAGCTCACAAATAAATATTTCTTCTTCAAATGCATTGTATTAATATTAGTTTCTAACATTCGTAAGTCTATAGACGTCATATCATACAGTAGGCTTCTGTCACCCTAGAGAATTTCAGATTCTCTGGCAAGAGCGAGCTTGCATTTCTCAAGGGAACAGTTAGGTAAGACCAAACAGCCACACTTTGGGAGGAGCAGGGGCTCCCTCTGGCCTCAGCCCCCATCTGCCCACTCTCTTGTTCCTTACTTGTCAGGAACCTGATGTCCTTAGACAGCCCTTATTAGGCCTGGGCAGCAGTGGCTGCTTGTTTGAGTGACCGGTGGGTTTCCTGGGTCCCTCCCAAGGGCCTGAGGAACTATGACTGTTTCAGAAGTTTGGGCCAACCTTTTAACCCACCTGCATAACAAAGTGCTTCAGTGGCCTTGTCACATGAGAAACGAGGGGACATCTGAAAGTCTGACACGGTTTCACCCTGGGCCCACCATGATTCAGGGGGAAAGCTGAGTCTATAAGGGCATGAAATCCCTGCCTCCTGGTCTGAGGCTTGCCTGCTACTAGAGGGAAACCAGGTGATACAAGATTGTTTGCAGGTTCAAATTCAGCCTTCTATATTTTTTTACACCCATAGGCATCACTTTTCCCCTCTCTTTTCCAGAATCAACTTGTATGAGTTGATGAAGAATAACAACTTTCAAGGCTTCAGTCTGTCGATAGTTCGGCGTTTCACTCTCTCTGTTTTGAAGTGCTTGCAAATGCTTTCTGTAGAGAAAATCATCCACTGCGATCTCAAGCCCGTGAGTACCACCTCCGTCCTGCCACGGAAACACTCTGGAAATACCCAGAGTATTCCCTAGGCTGCGTAAGAATCACAAACTCCAATCCAAGCATTGCCTGTGACCTTTTTTTGTGTGTGTGTGCTCTATTGTCATGGCAGTATGTATGTCAAGGGCAGCATTTAATGCGAATGTCAAACAAATTCAGTCAATGGCATTTCTAAGGCCATGCAAGCGAGGCCTAGAACCAGGTGCCAAAGAAGATAAAAACAAAGTCACAATCTTCAGGAGTTGCAGAGTCAACAGGGGGAAAGTGACAAAATATATGCAAAAGAAACTCTGCAAAGCAGTGGCTATGAGGTCCAAAAGAGAAATACCGACCACAAATCAACTGGGAAGTCAGAGGGGAGGATGATGGGATTTTGGAGAGGAAGTGGGAGGAGGCCCATGGAGGTGGTCATATTTGAACTGGGCCCTGAAGGATGGGGAGCATTAAGGTAAGCAGAGGGCCTAGGGCAGCATTACTGTAGCCTGACATATGTCTTGTCTTCTCTCTAGGAAAATATAGTGCTGTACCAAAAGGGCCAAGTCTCTGTTAAAGTCATTGACTTTGGATCAAGCTGTTATGAACACCAGAAAGGTAGGCCCCATGCCAGTCCCGTCATCTGAGTTTTCCTATTGCAATTTCTCTCGCTTCACATACAAGGTCACCCGGCTTCTAGCCTGGGCTCAGCTATCACCACTAACCAGTCTGATCCTGAACAAGGTGCTTCACTTCTCTGAGCCCAAGTTTCCTCATCTATAAAATGAGAAAGTTGTATCCAAGTACTAAAAGGGTGCTTTCAAGCTCTCATATTCTGTGGATATGGAATTATCCAAGAACAGTGAGTCCCAAAACTAACTAAATGTGTATCTGAATTGCTTTGGGGCTCCGAAAAATGATAGTTTCCAGGGCCTCACACCGCAAGTTCCTAATCCAAATTTCTGGGAAGTAGCTAGGAGTCTGCACTTCAGAAACCATAGTCATTCTGAAGCTTGGAATTCGCTGCCCCAGATCCTCTAGGTTTTATACTTTTTCAAGCTAGGATCCAAAAAGTAGCTCTGGAGTACATTTTCACAGCGTTTACTGAACTTGATTCAATATTGTGTTCTTTTGGCTTCTATCAGGTTCGCTATAGACAACATGTACCATTCAACAGACATTTATGATCTGTTTTGTGTCAGTCACTGTCCTGGGTACCAGGAACAAAAAATGAACATTCCCTGTCCTCAGGTTGCTTACGATCTAATGTAAGAGACAGAAAGATAAAAATAGTATGGTGAATACAACGATTAGAGATGTACACAGGCTGTGTTAAAGATACACAACAGAGTGACTTTGGGACCAGCCTTTAAGGTGACAAGGGCTGTCAGAGGAAGCTTCCTGAGGCTGAAGAAAGGACTACTAGATGGATGTTTCCAAATATTAGGCAGATCAATTTTTTTTCAGGAAAAAACACTTACAAGTTTATTAATAAAGAATATGATAAAAGACACAGATGAGAGATACACAAGGCAAAATATTTGGAAGGGGTGTGAAGCTTCCATGCCCTCTTGGGGGCAGGCCACCCTCCCAACACCACATTTCCCATACCCTGGAAGCTCTCTGAATCCTGCAGCTCAGGGATTTTTATGAAGGTTTCATCACATAGTCATTGAGATTATTAACTCAATTTCTAGCCCTTTCCCCCTTCCTCCAACAAAGGAGTTAGAACTGAAAGTTCCAAGCTTCTAATCATGGCTTAGTCTTTCTGGCAAGCAGCCTCTATTCAGGAGTCCACCAAGAGTCATCTCATTAGAACAAAGAGAGTACTATCACCTCAGAAGTTCCAAAGGATTAGGAGCTCTATGTCAGAAGCCAGGACAAAAGGTCAATTATTAGAACAAGAGATACATGTAGAACCCCTATCACTCAAGAAATTAAAAAGGTTTTAGGAGCTCTGTGCCAAAACCTAGGGGTAGAGTCCTATATCTATTTCTTATTATTTCTCACACGTGCTCATATACAAGCAGGTATATTATTAATTTGAAGAAAAAAATAAGTTGATGCACCACATGCAGTGTTAGCCATTCACTCTCACACATTGTTGGAGAAACTATAAATTCATATTGTCTTTTGGGAAGTTACTTTTGCATCTTTAACCAAACATTTCACTCTAAACCTTCAAAAATTATAAATTCCCCTCTGAGGAACCTGCCTACAGGTTACAGATGTTCCCATAGAATGTACATCTTCACTAATGCACTGTTAAGTAGCGCAACATTGGAACCAACCTAAACATCTACAAATGAAGAATGGTTTAATAAATTAACACTGTTATACCACGCAGCTATTTGAAAAGAGAGATTTAAATGTAATGGCCTAGAAAGATCTCCATGATGAAGTAAGTGAAAAAAACTGAATAATGAAACTTTTGACATGTAAATATATAAATAAGATAGAAAAGGATTTGCACCACACTGTTAAAAGTGGTTATCACTGGAGATGAGCTTGGAAGAGCTTAGGGTTGAATTTTCAACTTTTACTTTACATATATATCTTTTTTTTTAGTAAGGATATGGAAGATTTTTAAAATTTTCTCTTGGATTTTCAATTTTTAAAATTTTTTTAAAATTAAATAATTTGGTGTCTTTAATTTGCTAAAGATTTACATAAGATTTCTAGATGTCTAGTCTTAAGTGAGACCAGTCTGTAGGGTTTTTTTTCACGTGTGTGTGTATCTTTGTCCTGTTTGAATACCAAAGTTACGTCTTGAAAAAATGAATTGACCTTTTCTATTTTCTGTTCCATCAAAGTCTGAAGAAAATGGGAATCATTTTCTTTTCACAAGGCCTCTTAGAACCTGCTTGGAAAGTCATCTGCATGTTGCATCTTTTGCAAGAGTAGTTCTTGAACCACTTTTCTACTTCTTTCATAGGCTGTTAGTCTGATATCCAGACTCCCTTCTGTAAATAAGTTCAGCTTTCACATCTGTATGAACTTATTTTTCAGAGAAGTTTTGCTTACTCTACTGTTCACGTCTTCAATTTGCTTTGCTTGCTGAATTCTCCTCATTTCTAAGACCTGCTCTCTTTTCTTTTGCAGCCATACTTTAAATACCATGTCATTCTCCCTCTTTTTTTTTCTTTCTCTTCTTCTATTTTCTGTTGCTCTTCCTCTCTTTTCAGCTTTTCTGTCTGTTGTTCTAGTTGTTTTTGTCGTTCTTTCTGTCAAGGAGAAAGACAGTATGTTGAGGTCACTGGTGAGATATGTGCAGACTCTGTCCTGATTAGATTTCCCATTCCCTTTACTTCCATCTGAGTTGGACAAGTCTTGCAGTTGAGTGGTGGCTGAGGGATATAAGCCAGCGGCTCTTCTGTTGGTGAGTGAGTGACAGCATCAATCTTTCCTGCAGAATCTTCTTTCTTGATGCCACTGACACAGGAGTTGGAAGATCTGGGTAACAACTGCTGAGGGTCATTTTCTGTACTGTTTGCATTATTATTGGGAGGCAAAAACCCCAGACTCTCAATGTCTTGTAAACTCAGAAGTTCAAATTTTCCATCTCTCTCCACCAGTATTGTCCTATCCTTGTTTATTTCACAGCTTCCATTAGCAAGTGACAGGAGCACATTTACTTGTCCCAAATATTTGGAAATACATAACTGTGACAGTTTCCCAAACATAATCCTTTCATTTTCAAAATAATTTTTGTAAGTATTAGTGTCTTTTAGTGGAAGAACTTCCAGATCAACTAATTTGTCCTTGAGCTTAAGTTTTTGCTCCCTTTTATCATTTACAGGTTCTTGATTCTGTAGAAGCTTGTTAGCTTGTACAACTTTCTCCATAATATATCTCCTTACTTCCTCATCCTCTTCCTCCTCCAAGTCTTTCTGCTTTCTAGTTTGGATTCCTGGAAAGAGTTTTCACTATCTGAATCTGATATGGGATCCAAAGGTTGAACGCTTGGAACAGAAATCAAGTCATTTCTTCTCGGTGGGACCTCAGCCTGCAAAGATTTGTCAGGATGAGAAAGCTGTTTGGTGTGTTCTATTACTGTTTCATTCTCTTTGAAGTCTTAGTTAATATTCTCTTCCTTCTCACAAGCCATCTCTATTATGCTGGCATCACTTTTTTCATTTTCATTAGTTAACCACTCCAGGTCCTTTTCAGAGTCACCTTTGTATTCTTTTCACTTTCTTTTGAATCAGTATCTTTATTTTCATTCATTTTGCTCTCTCCCACCATTAATATTTCCACTCCGCATTGTCCTTCCCTTCTCTCCCTCTGTCTCCCTCCTGGCTGTGTAAGATGCGGTGGCTGGGGCCACGGAGACGGCCGGGGAGTTCTGCTCTCCTCCTCTTTCTAAGCTCTTCACATTGAGGCAAGGGAGACCCTGGCACTTGCCTCGGCAGCAGCCAGGACCACGCTGCCATGGCAACAGCATGCCACTGTGTCCTCCATCCAGGCCTCTCTCTGGCAGATCAATTTTTGAGGACATAAGACCTTTATGTCTCTTATGTATGAATCCTATGAGAAATTCCAGCTAAAAAATAATGCTTCCTACAAAGAACTTCCATGTTTTCTCTTCTCAGATGTTGAAAGTTGTGTAACTTATCAGTTGTCATTTATCTTGGCTGCCAAGATGCTCAGAGCTGAATTTGTAATTATTTTAGCCTTCATTTATAGCAGTCATTTCCCCCTTTGCGTATTTTCTGACTTCTTTTTTTATCTTTATTTTAACTGTGAGGCAGTATCTAGTATTGATACTAGAACTGGACTGCCTGCTCTCAAATCCCAGCTCTGTCACTTATAGCTGAGTAACCTTGACATTTTAACCTCTGTATGCCTCAGTTTTCTCTTCTTTAAATTGGAGGCAATAATACTACTTGCTTCACAGAATTAATGTAAGAGTTGAAAGGGCTTATCTACAAAAGTACTTGGAATTGTGCCTGGCACATACTAAACATAATGTAGTAAATACCATTAAATCCGTGTTCTAAAATACTCTGTGCATATGTACTTTGCAAAGTACCACAAATACATTTGGGAAGCAGGCAGGATATAAACATTATTTTTATTAAATCTCTATTTTGTTTTAAATCACAGAATTATGCTCTGACAATAACGAATTTAAACAACAGAAAAGTGGTTACAGAATCCCTGCTCCTCCCCAGGTAACCAGCAACCCCAGTTATGTGGAAATAACTACCGTGTTCCATTTCTTCGACTTCAGTCTGTTCATCCTCATCCGTTGAGATTTTTCTTTCTCTATAACAAGTGCACATACTATATTGAATATACACTTTGCACGCTCCCTTTCTAACTTGATATGCCTCTTCCCTTGCCAAGTCACAAGGCTCAGAAGCCGTCTACCCCAAATTAATCTGACAGTTTGAAAACTTAGTCTTATGTTTTGTTTGTTTGTCATAAACTTGGCTGACTGAAATTCACTTTCCTACAACAAGGCCTACGTTGGAGTTCGTTATCAATAAAGCAGGGACAAGAACACCTCCTTCAGAATCAGATTGCTGTGGGATTTGATGCTGTTAGGTGTAATGAGAGTTCTGAGTGCTGGCCAGCTGGACTTCCCTTTCCCCGCCAGCGGGGGCGCAGTCGAACTGAGAAGGTGTCCTGGGGGAGAATGTTCTGGAGAGCAGGAAGGTTTTCCCACCTGGTTTTTCTCACTTTGCCTCCGCAGTATACACGTACATCCAAAGCCGGTTCTACCGATCCCCAGAAGTGATCCTGGGCCACCCGTACGACATGGCCATTGACATGTGGAGCCTGGGCTGCATCATGGCAGAGTTGTACACGGGCTACCCCCTGTTCCCCGGGGAGAATGAGGTGGAGCAGCTGGCCTGCATCATGGAGGTACGGGGAGGGCTGGCGGTCGGCTCCCACGGAGACCATGGGCTTGGGCTTCAGACACTGGGCTGCATCAGACTCTCCCAGGACCATGGCCTGCATCCTTTGTGTTGTGGGTACTTCCTAAAAGTAGTTTTGACACTGTGTACTCCCTTGTACTTGTCAAGTCGACATCTAACATTTTTATCATAACTTTAAATAGTTGCAGAGGATGTCATTTCCATCATATTATAAATAGTGACGTTTTAAAATAAAACCCTTACACCACTCTTTCAAAAATATCGAAAAGAATACAAAACCAGACTGACATGACACCCATTAAAATCCATCTGAAAGTATGTGAACAAGTTCTCAAGAGTTGTGCATTTATTTTACTTTGTTCTTTTTTGCTTTTTGTTTTTACTCTTTTCTTCTACTTCCTCCACGGAATTTTATTCTAATTTAATATATGTTTATGTTTAGAAACTTCTGTCAATCATTATAGCTTTAAACGTTTCCTGATACCGTAAGCTTCATGTGTAAAAATTTCTTTTTGGTAAGTTACCATTAAAATATATCTGGTGTGCAAATTTTGATAATGATTGAAAATAAAATGTGAAATCTTATTGGGTGTACAGCTCCTAAAAAAATGAATAGAGCTGGGTTTTCTTTTTCCAGTTAATGCCTATACCCATAGATGAATAATGCTTCTTGCTAGAATGCCGGGGCTCAGGATCAATGTGATTCCAATTGCTTGGTGGTGTAGATGTGAACCCAGTGAGGAAGCCTGTTCTAATTAATGTCGTCTAATTCAGTGACTCCTTTTGAGTTCTATGTAAGACTCAAATGGTGATCTGTCGTCTAAAATTATGTTTACCAACCTGTCAGCTGACACCCCAATTAAAATGTTGAAAACAAGAATTGGAAGTTATTTGACTTCAAAATATGTGTATTGTTCAGGCATTAGTCATTCATTATGGGAAATGACAGTTTTCTGGGAAAACTATCTCCCTATAGCAAGGCTTTATCAAGACTCATTATATGATTATTAATTATATCTACTATGCTTTCACTTGAAAGTCATCTTGTTATGGAACTAAATTAGACAAAATAGAAAAATAACCTTAAAAATTTAAAATTTTACATTTAAGGATTTTCCCAGTGAACAAAGATATTTTGTGTGCAAACACCAAGCTAGCTGGCTGGTTGGCTGGCTGGCTATCTGTCTATCTGTCTATTTATCTATCTATCTATCTATCTATCTATCTATCTATCTATCTATCTATCTATCTGTATCTTTGCCAAATTTCTGTTTTCCAGATTGTCTCAAAGTTACAGATAGAGAAACACACATAGCCTTGAGAATGACTAAACATAGATAATTTCATTTCATGATTGAAACTAATAATAAAATATTAAAATAACTTAGGTAAAAATAGCTGCGGTGGAATGAAAACTGGCCTGCGAGTCATTAAACCTGGGGTCTTAGCCCTGGCTCTGTCTTTTTGCCTAGTCATTTCCTGGCTCTGGACTATAAAATGAGGGGAGCAGAGTAGATGGCTTCTAAGGTTGATAATGTATGATTTTATAAAGCATTCCCAGGCCGCTCCTGCTTCCATTACCAAAGAGAATGGGGCCTATGTTTCAACTTTCTTACAGCCCCAGAACTGACTCAGCTTCCTCTTGACCTCAGTGTCAAAGGGTCTGAGGAACAGAAGAGCAGGATAATGTGTGGATTATGACTGGGAACCGAGCCGCAAGGGTAGGTGACCCACACTGTAATTTCCTTATCTCTGTGTGCCCCTCCAAGTTGCAGTAGGAAAAGATGAACAAGTAGGTGCTACACTTTTCTTTTCAAGAAGGTATTTTGTCTTGTAATTGTCTGATGCTCATCCGGTGCTTTTCATCTTCTTTTCTTCTCCCTTTCCAGTGCTCCGTGGTGGGATATATCATTCTTTAATTCCGACATGGCAGCATGTATACTAGTTTATTTACTTTGACAATGACATCTGGCTGCTATCAAGAGTGATGGCTCACCCCTAGTTGGTGCTGATGTTTGTGTAGAATAACATGGCCAGTGTTGATTCTTAGGATACGAAACCAGCCCTGGATTAGGAATTAAAAGGCTCAGGCTCTGGGTTTGCTCTGCTACTGACCTGATGTTATTACTTAATGCTTTGGATCTTTATCTGTAGAAGGCAAAGCTTGGCCAAAGTACGCCCCACCCCTCAGCCTTTGAATCTGTGATCCCACAAAGAGTGAACCAATTGAATTATCCTTATTAAGGTGCTGGGTCTGCCGCCAGCCGGCTTCATTCAGACGGCCTCCAGGAGACAGACATTCTTTGGTAAGTGTGTCTAGTGTGTCTAATGAGGTATCACAGGCCTTGAAGACACCTACCGTACCTTAAGGCTCATTTCATTCTTTTCCCCTGGCCACATACCAAAGGGCTGTGATTAAGAGCTTCTTTCAGAGAAGTAAAAGATAATGAGCAGGGAAACCGGATAGCATGATGGAGATGGGATGGGGCAGTCACAGTGCGAATGGGGTCTTGACAGTAAAAATGTTCAGGAGGAGGAGAATGGCCAGGTCCCTGCTCAGAAGAGCTATCAGCAAATACTGCAACCTCAAAATATTGTAACTGCATCCTCTCCTGGAAGCTCTCCCCACTCTCCCAAGCAACTTGCCCTCTCACACTATGCACTGTGCAGGGAAATCAAAGAGCAGAAGCCTCATTTCCAGAATAGTGGAAAATTCCATTGCTGCAATCTTGTTTCCCCTGCTAGAATTCTTCTTATCCTCCAGACCCTACTGTGCCAGGTTCATTGCAACAGTTAAGCAAGGACTTAGTTTTGTTTTGATGCGTTGTGGCTGGTAGTTATGTATGTGTCATCTGTCTGATTGTTGGGAGTAAACTTCGTCCACAGTCCTGGCTGCCCCTCTCCTCATAATTTCCAGAATTCTGGATTGTTATGATCCTCTGCCTTTCTATTTAAGTGGTCCTATACAAGATGGAAGGATGGGTCCACAAGGCATCAACTGAGGCAGGCTTTCAATGCACATGCACCAAAAAGATGCAGCAAGTCCCAGACCTAAAATCCCTTTAAAGAACCACAGGAAGCTCAGAGTCCCAGATAGAAACAGCCAGAGTGGCCTGAAGGTCAGCAAAGTGGAGCAAAGCCAAAGAGAAGGAAAAGGGAACTCCACAGACAGGGACTCCATGCTACCTGGAGTGACATTTCTCACCAGCCATGGTTATCAGCTCGGTTCATAGACTCCCTCTGACTATACAATCCCAGACATTCCTGGCCCTCCCACCTCCGATTTTCAACTGCGAGCAACCTCTGAATGTGTATGCAAATTTCTGTTCACAACTTGCCCCATCAGTAGGAAGGTCCAGAACACTGTCGTGGGGAGATCCTTTAGGATAAAAGGATTTGGGTCATGCTGGCCAGTATGAACTGATTCAGCCACGTGGGGGTTGTAATTTGTCTATTTCTGTACCATTTGGTAAAAAACCACGTGGTACAGAGCCCTGCCACAACTGCAGGCTCCCTGGCCCTCTCCCAGGACTCCTTAAACTCTCCATGATCCAAAAACCTAACAGCTGAAGGCCAAGCAAGCAGAGGTGCTCTATGATCCTACTCCAGTGCCAGGGCTGTCTTCCATTCTGATTAGTCGGTTCCATGCCATTGATTCCAATGGTTAATTCTTTTAAACATCACCTTGTATCATGGCTGGAGCTTTGGAGACCTTGCCTCTGAGCAGGGCAGTGTCCTGGTTGCCATAGAATGGTGCCCACACATTAACCGAGCAATCTGGCGGTCGGCCGAGGATCTGGCTGGCTCCCCAGTATAACTTACACATGGACCAAGGGAACTGGTCTTTGGATCCCAAATATACTTTTTCTACCCACAACTTAATAATTCAGCCTTTCAGATTAGGCAGAGTCATTGTGGGAAGATACATCTTGAGCCTGGAACACTGAATTCATGAGATAGCATCCAGGTAGGGACTAGCAGGAGGGGAACATAGAGCGCCTTCGTAGGAACGTGCTAAAGACATAGGCACGCCCACTTCATAGCGTTCCTTATTTCAACCACTAGCACTAGGCACTAGGATGGTGACGGGATTTTGGCAGCAACATCCATGTCTTCGCTTCCTGTGAAAGAAGGAATGTTGCTGAGAACTGCATCTCCGTCGGTGTTTTCCAAACTCTATCCAAATGTAAGAATCATGTGGGGACTTGGCAGAAAAGCTAATTCCTATGATTCTCTTCTATAAGCTATGGGAAGATTGAGATAGGACCCAGGATTCGACGTTTTTAATGACAGCTCCTTGTGATTCTCATGACAAGATGAATTTGGGAAACACTGTTGTTCAGTCCTTGACTCCCTTTCCCAGGTTTGGGCTGCCAACAGCTCCTCAGCCCCTGGCAACTCCTAGTTAATACCTGCAATTAGCAGCAAAATGGTGTTGTCTCAAGGCTGGTAAGATAATATACTTAGGTGGCCTAGGTGGCTCAGGCAGTAGGAAGGGAATGGAGGGAATGATTAATGAGGGCCAGAGTGAGAAAAGCTTGTACAAGAAAACACTTACATGATCATGACTTTAGGAGCTTTGTTATTTATAAGACTGTGAGCTTGATTCTTCTTTGGTCATTGGTAAAAAGGGCAAGGTAGGATGAAGTGGGAGGGCTGAGGCCATGATCCAAAAGGAAATGGATCTTTGTACAATTTCACAGGACCTTGTCACTTAAGATTTACTTTACCATTGTTATTATTATCAGTAGCATTATTATTTTATCTTGGTGTTAAACCATTTAAATTATTTCTTTGCTTTGGAGAGGAAGTAGTGGGAAGGAAGTTCAGAACATACTGAATAGTAGGAAAAAATCAATTATTAAAGTAAATTGTATTCCTTGGGTAATCTTCACATGGTTATTTCAAACTGTGTGTGTGTGTGTGTTTATTGGGGTGTGGCATGAGGCGAGTGTGTAAGACAGAGAGCAAAAGAGCTACAGAGGCCACTCTAAGAAGCAGCATGATGTGACCAGTAAATATTTACACCTGAAACTAAAGACAGAATGTTGTATCTCTACAGATTCCAAAGGTTTTCCTAAAAATATAACCAACAACAGGGGGAAGAAAAGATACCCAGACTCCAAGGACCTCACGATGGTGCTGAAAACCTATGACACCAGCTTCCTGGACTTTCTCAGAAGGTGTTTGGTGTGAGTTTGTTGGGATATCTCTGCCTCTGGGTTTCCTCTAAAATGCTGTACTTTGACACATGTTCGCTGGTGTAAGTCTAAGGCTGGGAGATAGTTATGAAAGTAACGAGAAATGCTAACAATCGAGCTTTAAAGTCTACAAATTGCTTCCACGTCTGTTGTCTCATCAGACATCTCTCTCTCCCCACTGTGTGGTTGTCAGGGCGGATGATTTGTTCTGTTTTACACGTATGGAGGTTGGGATTCAAAGAGATTAAGAGACCTGCCCAGGAATACACAGTGTATGGTAGAGTTTGTCATCTTCCTGGCCTCACACTGCCTGACAGTGAGATGGTAGGCCAGTCCTCAATTTCTTCTGCTCTGTGAGCTGAAGCCAACCTGCTGAGTGCTTGTTGTAATGATTTGCATACACATCCAGTTTAAACTGGTTTCAGGGCCTGTCCCCATCCCCCTATGATTTAGTACCCAAATCCTCTTATATTAGGGAATTAGGGGAAGGGTGAGCTGTAAACCATTTATTATGTACAACTTTTTACAATCTATATGCATATTTTGAATCTTAGAAATTAGGTCTGCACTTAAGTCATAGTACCCAGTACAGTGCCCAGTTTAAAAGGTGTTTAGAAAACGTTAGCTATTCTTATTATTTTACGACTATTGAAGAGGTAAATCTAGCTCCACAGAGTGGCGAGTAGATTATCCATGTGATACTTGGCAAGTCATCACTTTTGTCTGGGCCTCAGTGTTCTTTCCTATACAATAGGGTATTCCTAAGCTCCCTTCCAGTTCCATCAGTCCTATAATTTAGTATTTTTAGAAGACCATATCATCACAGTCTCTTATTCTTCCAGATGGATGGAGTGGTGTTATCAAAATACTCTTCTGGCATGTGTGCACTCTGGAATTTCGGTACTAGCTCAGAGGGTGAACCATGAGGTAGTGATGAAAGTATTCCCATCGTAGGGGGTCATGCTATTCGCTCATCAGAATAATCAAGGTAGAGAAGGATCCTGTACCCCATCTTTACCCCTACCTTAACAAATGACAGAAACCAGCTGCTGAGACAGATGGGTTATCTAGAAACCTCGACCATCCAGAACACAGCTTAGCACCAAGGAAGACATTATTTTCTCTTTTGTGCAAAGGACGGATTACGCATAACTTGCAAGAGGCAGTCGGGCTGATGGGGACTGTTACCTTATATATATATCTTGCTAATCAGCAAATCTTTGGAATGAGAGACTACAAGTTTTGAGCCAAGTTCAATAGGCATAAATGTAAAGCCCTGTGTCTAGACGTTGTAGGGCTAAATCCAAAAGTCCAGGAAAGGAGAGATGTTGTTTAACAGCAGTTCATTTGACACAGAAATGAGAGTTTGAGCTGTTTTAGGATCTTGATGAGTCTAGAATGCTAATACTGTCTTCCCTGCAGTTATAGAAGCTATTCCCACCATGATGGACACCAGTTAGACAACTGCTAAAATGTCCTTATTTCAGAAGGTGGCCAGATGGTGAAAACCATATCATATGATTATTAGTTAGTAGCAATGTAAATATTTTCAGATGGTTGAAGGACTGAACCATATAAGGATTAGTTATTTTGTATGATGGTAATGGGTTGATGAATTAGGACCTAGGTAAAAGTTACTGGGAAGCAAACCAGTTTCGGCACAATAAAAATCAAGAACTTTTAAAGAATCAGAGTTTTTCAAAATTGGAATAGATGGTTCTGTGAGTTAATGTCTTGTCACTGAAATTACTCAAGAATTGCAGGGTGATTCCATGATGGTAATTCGGTCAATGTATTCTGCTACTGAATTACAAGTTTGATTGGATTATATCCAAGTCCCCTTGCAAATCTTAATATTCTAGAATTCTGTAAATCTCCTTGCGATATTTTTGAAGCCCCAGTTCTGTAGTCTGGAAATTCAAATCTCCGTTTTTAATATTGTTAGCTTAGTAAACCCTAAATCCTATTGATTAAGCTTTTGTAAAATAATATTTCTTATAAGGAAATTTCTAGGAATGCTGGAAGACTTGGACTGTAATATATATTCCCTGGCTTGTTATACACATCTTCTAGAAAGATTATTTCCAATAGTTGTTTCCAGGTACTTTTAAGTTATATGCCATAATCTCTGTTCTGTGATGATATATCTTTGAGATAACAACATAGCTTAAATAAAAATCTTTATTGGGTTTTAAAAATGTTTTAATATATTAAAAGGAAGTAAAATAATAACCCATGCGGGGCTTTGTTGGGGTGCAGATGGGAACCTTCTCTTCGCATGACCCCGGACCAGGCCCTCAAGCATGCTTGGATTCATCAGTCTCGGAACCTCAAGCCACAGCCCAAGCCCCAGACCCTGAGGAAATCCAGTTCCTTTTTCCCTTCTGAGACAAGGAAGGACAAGGTTCAAGGCTGTCATCACTGGAGCAAAAAAGGTACAGCCTGTCAACCAGTCCTATTCCCACAGTCCAGGAAGCCAAGCATTTCTGAAGGATTTGCATGTCAATTTCTGTAACCTCACCCTGGGGTAATTCTTGTGGCTACGTCATGACTATCCTGCTATTTCTTACCTTTGGGATTTTCCTTTTCTGGGAAATTTGGCATTAGCCTGGATCTTTTTTGCCCCTCGTTAGGATTTTCCATTTTTCTCCTATAATCAATTTCCTTTCTCCTATAATCAATTTCCTTTCTCCTCCTCCCCTTTTCTTTAAATGCGTCCACCCCTTTATGCCCTATAATTACCTTTAGAATTTCTGTCAGTGCCAGATTATGGCATTATGCAAATTTTTATATGCAACATAGTCTAGTGGTTAGCTAGATGGTCCTAAGAGTCAGGTTACCTGGGGATTAAATTCTGGTTCTACCACTTACCAGGTGTAGACTTAACCTCTCTGTAGCTCAGTATCTCCATTTATGAGAATGAGAATCATGCCTATTCTCCAGGGTTGCTGAAATGATCAGATGAATTAGTGAACGTACAGTGCTTAGAATAATGTCTGGAACGTTGAATGTGCTTTGCAAATGAACTGGTTTTGTATCGTCACAGTCATGGTTTCCACTAAGTGATGTACAACCTAAAGGACAATTAACATATAATCCACACTTGAATCTTGTTCCCTTCTGTCTTCTCTCTCCTTTAGCAGATGAGATCACCAACGAGACTACAGAGAAAACAAAAGATGGCTCCACGAAGCATGTTCAGCCTTCAGGGGATCAGCAGGACTCTCTCCAGCACAGAGCTGACACTGTTCAGCTGCCTCAACTGGTAGAAGCTCCCAAGAAGTCAGAGGCAGAGGTGTCCACGACCTCCCCGGGACAGAACAAAAACTTCTCCCTCAAGAACACAAACATTTTACCCCCTATTGTATGACCTTTGCTGAGGGTATGTCCTGCTCCTTTCCACCAGTGATTCGTATTAAGACAGCACTTATATTGTACAATACTTCAGACTGTTTTTTTTAAATACATAAAAGTTTATTTTTAAAAAACTCTATTAATATGGCCAATTGGCATGATTCCTCTTATGAGGGATGGGGAAGGATGTCCTTGCACTTAAATTCATCTGTATGTGTTTGTGTGTGTATAGGGGGCAGGTAGTTTTTAACTCTCAATGTTGTAGCATCATTAAGGGAACTCTTACACAAAAGAAAATTTTTTTTCTTCTTGCCCATGACTGCCAACCTATGTCAGGATTTTTGTTTGAAAATGATAGAAGCTGAATTCAGAAGTAGTTTAAACAGCCGAAGACATTTATTGACTTATATAACTGGGGAATCAGAAAGGGTAGATGTAGTTTCAGTCACAGCAGGAGTCAGGAATTCAGATGAGGTTGTAGGGCTCAGACTCCCTCTTCATCTATTAGCCTTGCTTCTCTCTATGGTTAACTTCATCCTGATGACAGGCCCTGCTCAGAAGTTAACCACCAATATCCAGTCAAAAGATACCGGCTTTGTTGCTAAGAGGGAGTCTCCAAAATGATTGGACACAGAAACTGTGACTGGGAGACCAGGATGCTTGGCCAGTCTGGGTCCCAAGCCCACAGTGATGGTGAAGGCGCTGTGACTGATGCTTCTTTAGACTAGAGCAAGGGATGGAAGGTTTCCCAAAGGAAGGGAAGCTGGGTAAACAAGCAGGACATGTTCACTCATCTATCATATGCCACCTCTAAGTATGTCTTCTTACTTCCCTTTCTAATCCTCATCTACACAAATACATGATTTTTTATGTGGTTATCATAGGACAGATAGAATTTTACATGAAACTTAAGATCATAACATCAGAAACATAGAATATATAAAAATATTTTTTTTACTTGGCATTTGGAATAACCTCCCCCAATATAGTTTTCAAAATATTATAGTTGCATAATATTTTATGAAGGGGGACACCAGATCATTGAAGCAATGGACTTCAATGTAATCTCCCAGGGAAGATCTTGAGTTAGAATAGCAGAGGGTTGAGAGACAATCCTAGGAAAGATAAATATATAAGGAGTTGCCAGAGTTGAGGAGGTCCCCCAGGAGACCCAGAGATATAGAAAGAAAATTAGAAGCCAATGGAGAAGTTTCTAAATGGAAAGAAGAGTCAAGAATAGGCAATTTCCACAGAAAATTCAGGAAAAGAATAGAAAATATTCCTTAAGTGGGGCGATATGGACATTAAGTCAGAGCAGTGTTAGAACAGGTAACTTATCCCAGTTTCTATAGCCAGAAAACCACAAAACCAGCGATAGAACTCAGATCCTTGGGAGCATTCTTGACACGATCTTCAACTATGGATGAAGTTGGAGGTGGACATTTGTTCTGCAGCTCTGCAGAGAATTAGAAGCCAAGTCTTCAACATTGTAATCAGGATGATTTTGATTGAATATTAGAAAGTATCTTCTGATTTTCATGGTTATAAAAGGTTAAAATGAATTCTTGATAAACTGTGGCTTATTTTAAGAGCATAGTCTAAATATGGAAGCTGCAAATTGTGACACGGACAGGGGACAGGCTGAGTGACCTTCAGCAGGGCCTCTCAGTCCAGCTCTGTTGTACCTTTACCATTCATCTGGTTATTTTTTTCACTCCTCGGATTTCTTTACCTGATTGTACCATTGGATCCCAAGGAAATAAAACATGTGGAGCCCTTTAATTGTAATTTTTAAATTTTATGTCCTTGCTCGCATGGACAGGAAAATCTGCAAAATTCAGTGACTAGCATAAGGTGACATGACTTTGATGAGAGTGGTATGAAGATAATGTTAGGGCTCTGTGAGGATATAGAGGGGGAGGTGTGGAAGTGAGAAAGAAGGGCGGGGATAAGGGCCGGGCCCACTGCCGGAAGAGGGGAAAGCAGTGGGGTTGCCGATCACAGGTTCACCATCAGCCAGTCCAGCAGCTGCAGGGGTGTGACATTCCCCACCGCCTCATTCAGCTGGCGCTCCTTCTCATAGCGCAGCACCGACTGCAGAACCTCGCCCACGCTGCATCCTTTGTCCACAGCAGCAGCTGAGAGCTGAAGTAGCTGTGAAAGGAAAGAAAACACTAGTGGCGAGGCACGGCATCTCATGGCAGGCCAGACAGAGCCTGCCAAGGCTAGGGCAGAGAGGCCAGGCAGACCTCAGGAAACTGCAACACAGACTTTCAAGTTTGTTGGCCTGTTTAACAGAAGGAGGTTGGTGACGTCATTCTTAGTTTAGAGAAGAGATGTTAACATCCACCTGCCCGTGATCTTGTTCTCTAAGAATTCTAAGGTTCTAAGCTCACCCTAATATCATAAAAGTCTCCATCATTGTCCTAAGACCAAAAGGGCAGATGGAAAATACCCAGTGGACAAACGTGGATGCTGCTTTCCATGCCCCATAGACCACAGAATCCTAAAATGTTAGAGCAAAAAGGCACCTCAGAGAACAATTCAACCCTCACGAAAATGTTTCCCAGAGAAGTACAGAGATTTGTCAGAATTAACTGCTAGTAATTAGCAGAACCAAAATTCATTGCAGGTATTGGATCCTATCTTTAGCTCTTTTTTCAAGTACAAAATGAGAAAAGTTAGTTAAGCAACCATTCTAATATAAATACAATGCTGTCATTTATCTGGAATCCTAAGGGCAACAAACTTTCAAGTAATAAGATTTTTATTTTGTTCATTTTGCTCTTGACTTTTTACGACAAAGGGCAGGCAAATAAACAGACCAAATATTGAGAGCATCTTCAGAAAGATAAATATCCATGTGAGAAACTGAAATAGAAGAACCAAATGGAAATTTTAGAACTAAAATTTACCTACAAAATATAAAATAAAAATGTATCAGGTGGGCTAAATAGCAGAATGTAAATGAGAGAGGAAAGTCAGTAAACTTGAAGGTAGATCAATAGAAATTATCCATGCTGAACAACGTACAAGATTGATTAAGCTTATTTCAAAAAACATTTAAAAAATAAACAGAGCCCAAGGACTTGTGGGCAATACTAAAAGCTTTAACATTTATGTTATTAGAATACCAAAGGAGAAGAGAAAAGTGATGATGCAAAACATATTTGAAGAAATAATGGATGAAAGTATTCCTAATTTGCCAAAAAGTTTTAAACCTATACATTCAAAAAGCTCAGTGTACCTAAAATAAAACAAACCCAAACCCAAAGAAATTAACTCCAAGACCTACCATAACTAAATCACTGAAAATTAAAGAAAAAGAAAAAAATCTTAAAAGCATCCAGGGAAAACCATTTATAGGGGAACTGCAAGTCAAATGACAGCCAATTTCTCATCAGAAACCATAGAGGACAGAAGAAAATGGCACGTCTTTTAACTGCTAAGAGAAAATAACTTGCCAAATTAGAATTCTATATCCAGCAGAAATTATAACTCAAGAATGAAAGTCAACTAAAGACATTGCCAGATTAAATGAAACTGAGAGAATTCATTGCCAGAAAATGTGTTCTGAAAGAATTGCTAAAGGAAGTTCTTCAGAGAGAAGGACAATGATACCAGAAGGAAACTGGGAATATTAAGAATGAATGAAGAGCGAGCTTTCAGTATAAATAGTAGGCTATCCTCTTCAGTTCTTTAAAATATGTTTTAAGGGTCAGGAGCAGTGGCTCATGCCTGTAATCCCAGCACTTTGGGAGGCTGAGGCAGGAGGATCACTTGAGGTCAGGAGTTTGAGACCAGCCTGGCCAACATGGCAAAAATCTGTCTCTACTAAAAATACAAAAATAGCTGGGCATTATGGCATGTGCCTGTAATCCAGCTACTCGGGAGGCTGAGGCAAGAGAATTGCTTGAACTCAGGAGGCGGACGTTGCAATGAGCCGAGATCAGGCCACTGCACTCCAGCCTGGGCAACAAAGTGAGATTCTGTCTTAAAAAAAAGTGTTTTAAGGTTGGAAGCAAAAGTAACTGAGGGTTTTTTCAAAGTATGTAGATTAAATACATTAAAGCAACTCAACTATAAAGGGAGAAGGATAAAGGAAACTTATATGGTAGTAATATTTCTACATTCCAGCTTAAGTGATAAACTATTGATGCTACATGGATTCTGAGAAGTTGGTATGTATATTATCATCCCTAGATTAACCACTAAAAAAACTACACAAAAAGATATAGTCAAATATGCAATAGATAAATTAAAATGGAATACTAAAACATGTTCAAATAGTCCAAGAGAAGGCAGCAAAGGGAAAACAAGGAGAAAAAAGAGAGAAGCAACAAATAACAAAATGGTAAACTTAAATCCAAACATATCCATAAATTGGGCTAAATGTAAATGGTCTAAACATATCAAATGTCAGAATGGACAAAAAATATAACCCAAGTGTATGCTGCCTACAAAAACCTTACTTCATATATAAAAAGTTAAAATTATAGGAAAAGATGTAACATGAAAATGCCAATCAAAAGAAGACTCGAATCTAACATTAATGGTCAATAGGATTTTTCAATAAAGGAGATGGATAATTCAGAGGGGCCAGATACCCAGTGGTCTTTTCAACAAATGGTACCAAGATAACCTTCATATCTATATGCAAAATATTGAATTTGAACTCCTACCTCACAAAAATTAACTCAAAGTAGATCATAGACCTAAATATAAGAGCTAAAATTATCAAACAAGTAGACAAAAATAAGGAGAAAATCTTCATGGCCTTGCATAGGTCAAGGTTACTAGCTCTCAGCACTCCTGGCTTTCTGGGTTTGTTGTGGGGCTATTTTGCTCATTGCATGTGGTTTAGCAGTATCCTTGGCCTCTACCTGTTTGACTCCAGTGGTAATCCCTTTCTCTGTTGTGACAACCAAATATGTCTCCAGACATTGCCAAATGTCCCCTGGGGGGCAAAATTGCTCCTGGTTGAGAACCACTGGGTAGGCAAAAATTTGTTAGGACACTAAAATCACAAGACATAAAAGTAAAAAGTCATAAATTGGATGTCATCTAATTAGACTTCATTTTGCTCTTCAAACGACTCCATTAAATAAAAAGATAAGCCACAAACTGAGAGAAAATATT